AAGACCACTCTGGTAAGAATTACTTCTGAGGTTAGCTAGAGCTCTGCAGCTCAAAATATGTTGAGCAATATGTATCTCGAAGAAGACCTAAGCTATACAGTAAATAGATTTGCGTACAAGTCAACTGGCATAAGTAGTCAAATATAGTAGTAATATTAGTTTAGAATAGAAGGAAAGAGTTAATGATCAGAGTATTTAAATAGCTAACTCATAGGCAGGTTGTAAGTATAGCAGTATAATGTAGAACTAACAGATAGTTGATCGTCTGTATAGCAGACTACTTAAATTAGATAATGACTAAAGTTGTATGTGTAGCTTGTTGTACACTCATCATGTAACTGTAAAATCTTAGGAAACTATTTATATAATAGTTCTATAATAACAAACTAATAAAATCTAATCAGCTAAGAAAGTAGCCTTAATAATAAAAAAAAAAAAAGAATTAAGTAAAATTTTTAGAATATATAATTTCATAAGAAGAAATAAAAGCAAACAACAAGAAAATCAAAATGATACAAAATTAGTCTACACTTATCAACATCTATAACCTCCAATCTTTTTTAGACCTTGTAGCATATTACTAAAAATTCATGACAAATTTTTAGAAATTGCAACTTTATTAACAAAATTATTAAAGAAAAATACAAAATTCGAATAGAAGAAACTCAAAGAAAAAGCTTTTAAAAATATTAAAGAAATATTAACATCTGCTTTAGTTTTAATAATTTTAGATCACAATAAACTATTCATATTTATAACTAACACCTCAGATACTGCAATCAGTGCAGTATTATATCAAGATCAAGGCTTAAGAAAACAACTAATAGCATATGAATTAAGAAAATTAACTCCTGCAAAATTAAACTATCTAATTTATGAAAAAGAACTCCTAGTAATTATTCATATGCTAAAGATCTAGTATATATATTTAAAAAGAAATAACTTCTAGATAATAACAGACTACAAATTCTTAAAATATCTATAATCTCAAGCAAAGTTATTGTAAAGACAAGCTCAATAAGTTGAAACTCTATAAGCTTACAATTTTATTATAAAATACCAATTCAGAAAAACTAATATAGTAGCTAATGCATTGTCAAAAAGACCTGAAACAAATATAATAACTGAAGTTAGTATTAAAGAAGATATATATGAAAGAATAAAAGAAGAATACAAAGAAGATACTTATCTTAAAATAATCTTAAAAGTATTGAAAGACTCTATTAGCAAAGAAGCTAAATAATTAAGGAAGCAGATAAGAAAATTTGAAATAAAAAAAAATAAATTATTATTTTTTAAAGAAGATATAGAAGATTCAAGATTATGCATAGCAAAAGAATCTAAAAAAATAAGACTATTACTAAAAGAAAGCTTTGACTTGAATAGATATTTCAGATTTGAAAAAACCTATAAAGAATTAAGATAAAGTTATTATTGAAAAAGAATGAGCAAAGATGTAAAGAAATATATAAGACAATATGATAGCTGTTAAAAAATCAAAAGCTCTATACAAGCTTTAGTAGGATTATTACAACTCTTAGAAATCCCATCACAATCATAAGAAATAGTGATAATAGATTTTATAATATATCTACTATAACAAGAAATAGGAATAATTCGATAATAGTAGTAGTAGACAAATTATGTAAAAAGGTTCATTTTATACTTACTAGAAGTTCTGTAGCAGTAGCAGAAATCACTCAAGTTTTCTTCAAGGAAATTTTCAAATATTACAACCTATTCTGTTTTATAATTTCTGATAAAGACCTAAAATTTACTAGTAAATTTTGAAAAAGCTTTTTTAAAATAATAGGAATAGAGTTAAGAATATTAATATTAGCATACTTACAAACTAATAGACAAACAGAATATATAAACAGAATCTTCGAAGAAGTTCTATATGCTTATATTAATTATAAACAAGACAACTAAGAAGATATTCTACTTGCTACAGAATTCTTCTATAATAATTTATTACAAAAATCTATAGGATACATACTATTCCAATTAGATAACAGATATCACCTAAAAACACTATTAAGTTTGATAAATAAAAAGATAAATCTAATAAACATAAAAGCTATACAAGAATTACTTGAATATTAGACTAAAATAATAAATATAACAAAAGATTCATTAGTAAATGCTCAAGAGAAACAAAGCAACTAAGCAAATAAAAGGAGATATTACTTAGAACTAAAGGAAGGAGAATTAGTATTATTAGTATTATTAGACTTAGCAAATATAATCTCTCAAAAAAGTACAAAAGAATAATCAAAAAAGCTTACTTCAAAATATATAGAACCTTTCAAAATTATTCAGAAAATCTTGATAGTAGCTTATTAATTAGAACTTCTAGAAAATTTGTACATTCATCTAGTTTTCTCTATATCATTATTAAAACCTTATTACTCTAATAAACTTGACAATATAAGAAAAGCAACTCTAACAATCACAACTAAAGACAAAGAAGAACAAAAAATTGAAGCAATACTAGATAAAAGAATATACTACTGATATCTACAATATCTGATAAAATAAAAAAGACAACCACTATATGATACTATATAAGAACTCCTAGATAAGCTTAAAAATTACAAGGATCTAGCAAAAGAATTCGAGAAAAATAGTGAAACTATTTTAAATAAAGAGAGTATAAAGAAACTGTTGAACTATATTATACAATACATGTGTTATATAATGAATATGCTAGAAGTTTATATAATGATTGTATCAAAGATCTATTAAACAAATGTATATTATATAAATATGATATAAGATCAGAATTGTATTAGTATTAGTTATTAGAAAGTGTAATAACCATATATTCAAATTGTAGTCATAGTTTAGTAATTATATTATAAATTATAATATAAAAATATGTAAAAAAAAAGAAAGCTAATTATGCTTTTACTTGTAATTCTTTAATAAAGAAATAAATCTAGTTACTTCATTTCATATATAAAATTTGCCTTAAATCTATCTACTCTTAATAGATATAGTTATATATATAATAGAATTTTAACTAACTAATTAGATCATAGAATTTTATATAACAAAAATAAACAAAAATTAGCATTAGAAAAAAATTATTATTATAAAATTAATTTAAAGTACTCAAATTAAAGCATTTTTTTTTTTTTTTTTTTTTTAAAAAAAATTTAAACTGAAATACAGTATATATGTTGCTATTTGGGTCTAAATTCTACAAAGTTTTATCTCACTTAGCTTTTATTCTTTAGGCTGCAGTATTTTATGAGGTACTACTATTAAATATAAATATAGTTAATTAAGAATAACAATTCAATCTGTAATCTGACTATATGAATTGATCCAAATAAATTTAGATATCTAAATCAAAGATTTTACTTGAATTAGTTAAAGAACTTAAATAGTAGACTTAAAGATAAATCCAAAAAGTTGGTCTTATATATAATCTGAAAGAATTTAATTCAAATTTGATATAATCTGAGTCTGTTAGAAATAGAATCGAAATACTAATTCTAAGTATTTTTTTATTACAAAATTTGCAGTTTATTTTTTTTATAAACTTTATACTTTGAACAAAAATTTTTTGATAATTATCTAGTCAATCAATAAAATTTCTTTTATTTTAAATTTATAATTATATAAAAAATTTTTATTAAATTTTACTAGATAATATTATCAAGAAATCTTTATTCAAAATATAAGTGTTAATAAAAAATAAGCTGTAGCCAATTATAAATATATATATTTTTTTAATTTATCAAAATTTTTTGATAATTATTTAATCAAATTTGGAAAAAAAATTTTTTATTTTAATTGTATAAACTCATATTATTAAAATAAAAAAATTTTATTGAATTTGGATAGATAGATATTTGTTGAAAAACTTTTATTTAAAAAAAAGACTTTTTTCATTTTTTTTTAAAGATTTTTAACTGTTTTTCAATATTTTAATAAAAGAAGTTTTTTCGATGAATATATAACCAAATTCAGTAAACTTTATTTTATAAATCTAAAGAATTCAAATATAAAAATAATTTCTGAAAAAACTTCTATGTGTTTTACAAACCTGAACTGAAACCTAGAGATAGTATATATAATGCTATATAGTAAGTTTGTGGTTCTGATAAATAAATTAAGGCAAGATTTTGAGTAATAGAAGCTGTCTATAAGTATTATTTAATTTGAAGAGAACTAATAATAATTTAGCTAAAGATTTTTAATAGATATAATAAAAATTATACTAAATAGTATATAAAAAAATAGGTAACCCTATTTGTTATTGCTATTAAGTTTTGAGTTTATGTTCAAAATCATTAAAATCATATATTCTACTGTAATTGCTATATCAGTTTAAAAATAGAAGATATGTATAGTGAAAAAAATTTTCAAATATATTTAAAGTATCATATTTTATTAGAAATAAAATAAATTCATAAAAAATATCTATAGTATAAGAAGAAATATCATTATTTCTATACAGTTAAATTAATTATTTAAAATTAAAAAGAGTATCAAAATATTAAAGAAAAGGTTATTATATTTTGTAATATAAAGATCTGGTAATCTTAGTATAGTGGTTAGGTTTCCAAACTGCTATACAAGAGATCTGGAGTTCAAATTCTATTATTGATGAATTTGAATAATTATTCAGACCTTTGTACCTAACTTATAGTAAACTCTATTCGTTTCTAAAGTTGTAACTCTGTAAATCATATTGCATTAATATCATTCGAATATTAGAAATATGATAAGGCATTTTAAGAGATATAATATTATATAAATTAATCTTAATAGGATCTATAAGCAGGAGACCTGCATAGTAGAAATTCTAAATTGGTAAAATAGTATAGCTTTCAACAGTTATACTGGCTAATGCTTAATTTAGAAAAGAAACTATTACTTTGAAAATATTAATTGAATGAGATACAAGTAAGTCTATTCTACAAGGAGAATTGACAATACTAACTTGGCTTAGCAGCTAACTAGATTAGGAGAATATATCTTATAAAATATCTGAAAAGATTAGCAAACAGGAAATTAGTGAAGAGCTACAGTAGAAACTGGGTTGTATGAATATCTATAAGGGTCTAAGCTAAATCTGTAAAATAAGTACAGACTGCTCTAGTAAATTTGCTTTAAGGTTAACTGAAGCTTTGTGTACTCACAATATGTTGAGTAATAAGCATTCTGAGAGGACCTAAGCTAAAGTCAATAAATGTTTCTATAATGAGCTAGCTAGTTTAAGCAGTTGAATATTATAGTGATATTAGTTTGTAACAGTATAAGTTAGTTGAACAGAATATTTAAATAAATAACTTATAGGTAGGTTATAGGTATAGTAGTATAGTATAGATTTTTGTAATAAATTATTATAGAAGAATTCTGTAGCAAGTAGAATATCTTCTTAGTTGTCTTGTT